TTGAAGTAATTAAGACTGAACTTCACAAATTTTTGGATGTGATTGTTGAAATATTTCATATTTTTCTGTGTAAAAGCACTCAGAAACATATTGAAGCCCAGCAAATCATTAATTATAATCATTATATTAATTAATTATATCTGAATGGTAATGGATTTAAGAAAAATTTTGCTCACATTTTTATGTGAACAGTGTATGAGTATTCTGTACAATATATTTCTAGCTTAACAAAAAAATGCACATGTTTTTTTATTTTGTTTTTCTGAAATCTATATACTATTGTATAATGAAATTTCACATTAATTATTAGTCAAAATTATCATTTAATCTTATTGGATAATTTGAGAATTCATATTTATATTTTAATTAGTTAAGATCTTTATATTTACATCTCATATTATATTATTATTTATATTATTATTATTTGTATCATATTTATATTATTATTTACAAATAATATATAGATTATTTATTTAGATTATACTAGATGATTTATATTTATACTGGATCACAAGATAAGTGACCAAGTGAGCGAACAAGTGAGCAAGTAAGCAAACAAGCAAACAAGTGAGCAAGCAAGTGAGTAAGCAAACGAATAAGCAATTTTTTTGTGAATATCATTGGTAGTTTTAATTTAACAATTTTATATAAAAGAAATATTTATTTTAGCTTAGAAAAATCAGTCAATAATTCAATAACTTAGTTAATAAGTTAATCAATTAACAAGTCAATTAGTTAATTAATTAAGTTCTAAATATTATTGGCTCAAAAATAAACTTCTTTGATAATAATGCTCTTTTGAATTTAACACATTTAGAATGTTTAAATATTTCTTTTATTATTTCATTATTTAAGTTTTAAAGTATTTATTTTAGTTTTGTTATAACCTTTTACATATTTGTAACGTTATGTTAATAACCTCTTACATGTTGTAATGTTATGTTGATGATCTTATACATGTTTATAATGTCATATTTATAATTTGACCTCTCACACATTGTGATGTTATATTATTGAAATGATTTAATAAATTGAATTTATAATATTTTATTTATCTATAAATCATTATCATAATTATTATATTAAATATATATTAATTTATAAAAGATTTCTTAAGTCACTTTTTAGCTAACTAGTAGTTAAAATTAAATGAATATACATCACCATCTTTAGCTATTTATCTTATCTCTCCCACTTGACTTAAAACACGTGTTGAATACATAAAAAGATATAATATATTTGAAACCCAAGTAAAATGATGACAATATCACATTTATATTATTATTTACAAATAATACATAGATTATTTATTTAAGTTACATTAAATGATCTATATTTATACTAGATCACAAGACAAGTGATCAAGCAAGTAAATAAGCAAGCAAATAAGCAAGCAAGCAAGCAAATAAGCAATTTCTTGTGAATATCATTGGTAATTTTGATTTAATAATTTTATATAAAAGAAGCATGTATTTTAGCTTAGAAAAATCAGTCAATAAGTCAATTAATTAATAAGTTAATTAGTTAGTTAATTAAGTTCTAAATATTATTGATTCAAACATAAACTTCTTTGATAATAATGTCCTTTTGAAATTAATATATTTAGAATGTTTAAATATTTTATTATTTTATTATTTAAGTTTTAAAGTTTTATTTTAGTTTTGTTATAACCTCTCACACATTTGTAATATTATATTTATAACCTCTTATATGTTTGTAATGTTATATTAATGATCTCTTACATATTTGTAATGTTATATTTATAGTTTAACCTCTCACATATTTGTGATATCATATTGTTGAAATAATCTAATAAATTGAATTTATAATATTTTACTTATCTATAAATCATTATCATAATTATCTTATTAAACAACACATTAAATTATAAGAAGATTTTTTAAGTCATTTTTTAGCTAACTAGTAATTTAATGAATACATATCACTATTTTTAGTTATTTATCTTATCTCTCCCATCTGATTTGGAACACAAGTTAAGCATGTAATATATTTGAAACCCAAGTAAAACAATAACAATATGTATATTTCATCATAAATTGCCATTAATATTTTCATCATTTATTATAGATTCATTTTCAAAGAAAAAAGAGAAAGAAAAAGAAAAATCTGAGAAATTCATTTCTTTAATTGCATTTATCTCATTTTTCTTTGAATTTCAATACTTTACATAAATTTGATCCATTTTATTATTGCAATTCAACTAACTGTCTTGTTTTTTTCCTGTTAATCCAAATCTGATTAGAATTTTAGCTTGCGATCACTTTTATTATGAATCCTATCACACCAATAACAATTTCAAGTATTTGTATTGTTTCACATTTTTACAAGATGGAGTTGATCAACATGTTCAGTTTTTACTTAAAAGTTTGCAGGACTTGAATAAGAAAAAAAAGAATAAAAATCCAAAGAATAATATTTCTTTTAACGACAATGAAGAAACAAAATCAGTAAAATATAAATCATTTATATTAAAGGAGACAATTTGAAAGTTTAGAATGTACTAAAACAATATTTATTTATTTAAATAAAATTTTATTTATTATAATATATTGCTTTTAGTTGTTCTATTATTATTGTGAATTTGCATAAATCATATCAGTACTTAAATTTTAATTTAATATCCATATAAATTAATCAGTTGAAATTATAAATTTTGATTGGTTAATTATCACGGAAAATCACGGGTAGATTCACAAAAATTAGCCAATCATATGAATGTCTGCTCATGAGTTTGGATCTGGATTAAGATTATTTGACAAACAAAAAATATATATTTACAAACTTTTGAATTTTTTGTATTACACATTGATCTTAGTCATCATCACTGACATCATCAAAAAATTATCACGTGGCCCGAACTTTTGTGGTCGCCCTGGTGAATTTATAAAGAGAAGTTGGGATCTTTGCTGATCTTTAGGCTCTATAAGATTACGATATATTATGACTCAACTTGATCAACTGAGGGGGGGGGGGGGGGGAATCACCTAATAAATGGTGCTCCCCTTAGAGTATCATATTTATGCTGTCGATGCTCCTTGAGAAGTACACTGAATAAAAAGCAATATCATACTAATGGTGTGTGTGCTGAGAAAATTTCGGGGTTTAAGTGATGACGAGCTTGCTGAAATAGTTGACGATATTTTTATTCTTTTGGAGAAAGCCTGCCTTGCAAAAAAGATATCAATGCTATCAATCCGAGGAAACTTACTTGTGGAAGTTTTTTGCTACAAGCGACGGCGTTACAGAGGATATCTCGAAAATTTCTAAAGTTTATTATAATAGAGATTATCTTCTCCTTCGCATTCAAATATGCTTTTTTACAGAGCTGAATTACAAAGTAATTCAAGCAAAGCTCGAAAGGGAGAACACGCTAGCTAAATTTATTCAATTTTGCATTATTGCGGTTGAGATTTTATTATTTTATTTGTAGGAAATCTCAAGAATAAAGTGCGATCCAGACAAAAGATGCAGATGCGACAAAGTTATGAATGACGACCCTGGGGATTCAGGTTGCTGGTTTTTGTTGCGCTTATTTTTTTTCTGGTTGCATTTTAAAAATTTTAAATATCAAATCTTTTTAGACTTTTAGGGAGAAAATTTTTTTGAATGTAATTTATTATGATGCAACATCCAAAGACATTATTATCGTTATCATCTGAAAAATGTACGAGTTCCCGTGCAATACACTGATGATGTAAAGACAGGTTAAGACCTTGATTGAAAATTTTCCTCTTGTTAAAATACAATATTCACCGCGTTGCGAGTGAAGAACGGAGAGTTGCCTAACCGAAGCTATAAAAATCTTCACTTTCAGATTACTGTAATTACGGAATTATTTCAATCCTTCAATTCACCACAAAGTTAACTTGTCAAGAAAGAGTAATTAGATTAATTTTACATTTTCATGTTTACAATTCAATGAGGCTAGCAAAGTGATTAAACATAAATAATCTTCAATTCGTGCATACAAAGACAGAAATCAATACTATCATCACAACTAATTCTGCAAAAAAGTAGTTATTAACATAAAGAAAGTGGAAGACGATCCAATTTCTCGGTAATTTTACATGAACACTTCAAAAATGCATACATTAACAGAACGTAGAGAAACTTTCAACGCTTCTTGATAGATCGATATTCGGGAAGCTATGTAAACGAAACTATCGCAGATCAAGATCATTTGCGTAAATTAAGTATTTTACAAGTGCACTTGGAAATATAACGATAAAAATATAAAATCGTGACTTTTTCCTCAAACTTAAATTTAGAAGTTTAAAGTATTAAGTATCAATTTAAACGCGCGTAAATCTACATACGTACCAATTTTCATAAAAATCAGCTCAAATTTACTAATTGAAAAATTAGTTTATTTTGTTTACTTGAAATCAAAAAATTGCAATTTTGCTCGGGATTTTCTTTCCCTACTAGGGCAGAAATTGATTTATTATAATACAAAAGTGAAGAGTTGGAAAGTCAGAATGTAAATTTCGATTAGAATTTCGCTTTGAGTTTTGTATTTAGTATAATAAATTCCTATTGGAGATTCGATAAAAATGACTCCATCCTCTTAGAGATAATTGGTTTCAAAAGAAAAGAAACTAGGCAGAAATTTAATGACAGCTTGTTCAAGAATGGAATTATTGGCATGTAATAATTCTAGCTGAAGTTTTAATTAATGTGCTTTGTATCTGATTATATGCCGTTCTTTGCACTTACGGAATGAATTAAAATGAAGAAAATTTTTCACTTGATTCACTAATTGCGAATTTTTACGCATACTGCAACAATCTCTTTTCTTGACCATTGTTAAATAAAAGACGAATTATTGAGGAAATCGTTTTCATGCTAGAAAATATTTGGTAACGCTAATTATTACGTTATCGTTATGGTTGGTTCATTGTGTATTGATTTTCATGCAAAATGGACTCGAACGGGATGAAAAAAGAAATAATGTAACGATAATTTTTTCTTTTGAAACTATGCCAAAACACGGCTCTTTTCTAAGTCGCTTCCAAAATCTTGATGCGTACGCGAAAACACTCGATGATTTTCGTGTTCGAACATATTATGGAGCTGCTCGTAAGTATTTTCTTTTACAGTTTTTACTTTTACCGAGAAATTCAAAAAACTTACTCTTTTCCGGACCGTTTTCCGTTATTCGACAAAAGTTACGATAATAAGTGTATGCCTCATTACTGTTTTGTTGATGTCCGAGTATGCCGATTACAAGCGCACGGAAATAAAAGCGGAATTGGTAGTAGATAAAAGTCGAAAGGAGAGGTTAACGATCAACGTAAACATTACCTTTCCCAAAGTACCTTGTTATTGTGCGTTTTTCCGAAAGTAACTTGAATTCGTGCAAACATAACTTTTTATGATGAATTTTTCTAATAAATGAATCGAATATTTCATGTGATTTATTTTTGAATAGTGTTAAGCGTTGATGTTATAGATTCGGCAGGCGAAGCACAAAGCGATGATTTAACGCATGATATTTATAAAACTCGATTAGACAATAAAGGGAATCCGATTGAAAAAGAGAAAGCAAAAGGTTATTTAAAAAAATTAATTCACCAACATCTTTTTAAAATTATTTAACAAGAATTACTTATCAATAATTATAATAATAATGATAATAATAGAGCTTGGTGATTCAACGAAGGACTTTGAAAAATTAGTTCCACAAAATGTTTCAACCACCGATGGAAACTCAACAGATGGAAACTCAACAGATGTAACAACAAAAGAATGTGGCAGTTGTTATGGAGGTGAAGAACCACCCAGCGGATGTTGTAATACATGTGAAGAAGTTCAAGAGGCATATAGCAAGAAAGGCTGGTCATTTAGTTCGGCGGACAAAATTGATCAGGTGAAAAATATTATTGATTCAAGTTTAATTCATCAACAATTCAAGTTTAATTCATCATCAATTCAAGTTTAATTCATCAATTCAAACATAATCTCTAATAAAAAAAACAGTGTATAAAAGAAGGATGGGTAGCTAAAATAAAGAAACAATCAAAAGAAGGGTGTAATATTCATGGATCAGTCGACGTCAAAAAAATATCGGGAAATTTTCATTTTGCCCCCGGAAAAAGCTTTCAACAGAACCACATACATATTCATGATTTGCAATCGTTTTTCGATGATTTTACGAAACATGATTTTTCGCATATTATACATCATTTAAGTTATGGTCCGATTGTGGATGGCGTGATTAATCCGTTGGATGGTGTGGTTAGACAGATTGAAGAGGGTAAATAATCGTTTCTCGTTTTAATGTTTGTCATTATCATGGTTCTTTTTAAGTAAAAGAGAATTCTCTTCTGTTAGGAAATTATGAATATCAATATTATCATAAAGTAGTCGCCACGCAATTTCATTATCTGAATCAAACCAGTATTTATACTAATCAATTTTCGGTCACTCAATACGAACGAGACTTGACTAATCTAGACGAAACAAGATCTCACGCACATAACGGATTACCTGGTAATGTCATCACTGCTGTTTAACCGTCACCCGTACAAGCATGATTTTCTCACATTTTAGTTTAAAAACAGGTGTGTGGTTCTACTACGACATTTCTCCAATGTTAATCATAAATCGCGAACAGAAAAAAAGCTTCACACATTTTTTGACGGGTGTGTGCGCTATTATCGGTGGGATATTTACTGTGGCTGGGATACTAGACGGGTTTATATATAATGCAGAGAAAACGTTAAAGAAAAAAATGGAATTGGGAAAACATTTATGAGTGGAGCGAGTGAGAATGTAGATAATCTTGTAATTTTTAGAAAAAATTAGTTAGAAACTGTATTGCGTAATTTGATTGTTAAAAAAATTATGATGTGGTGAAACCAAAAAAGAATCGAAAGATCGATCCGTGAATTTTTCATGGCATAGTTTCCGAGCCTCCAATCATTGATATACACCTTCATTACCTCGTCGAGTACTATAGCCATGTAGGTAATGAATTCATTTCGTTCGTGAACTTCTCTCTAAATACCAAATATACGGGTAAATGGCACGAACCTCCTTTTTATCTGAAGGGGACGCACTGTACAGCTTGTAATGGGTCCAGCCGGTTCCGGCAAGGTATTTCTTTTAAGTGATTGCGAGAATTCTTGCCATTCTCGTTGAAAGAATATAGTTGTTTAATGAATATACGTATATATAGTCAACCTATTGCGCGACTATGATGACACATTGTCAAACTGTTGGGCGATCTGTACACCTCATGAACTTGGATCCGGCTGCTGAAAGGTTCGAGTATAAGCCGTCTATTGGTAGGCAGATAGTTAAAATCCATCTTATTTATAAGGTCATCGAAACGAAATAGTAACATAAATCATTTTATGATTATCAGATATTCGCGATCTGATTACATTAGAGGATGTTATGGAGGAATTACATTTTGGCCCAAATGGAGGATTAATATATTGTTTAGAGCAAGTAACCTTTCTTTCAATCACGATCATTGTTTTTTTATCATTTGTGTGGAGCAATCAATTTCTCAATAGGAAATATTATATCTTGATATATAGATTTCTCTTAAATAATCTTGACTGGCTTGAAGATGAATTAGGCGATTTTGAGGATGACTATTTGATCATTGATTGTCCAGGTGAGTGTACATTATTTTTCCTCGATAAATAAACGCGCAAATTAACTAATCAACTGACCAAAACCAGGCCAAATCGAGCTGTACACCCACTTTCCAATAATGAAACGAATCTGCGACTGTTTCCAACGACTGAACTTTCGAATCTGCGGTATATTCCTACTCGAAAGTCAATTCATGCAGGATAAATCGAAATTTTTCGCCGGCGTGTTGAGTGCAATGTCGGCAATGATTAGTTTGGAGATCCCGCATATTAATGTCATGTCGAAGATGGATCTTTTGGGAAAAGTTAAACGACGCGAATTGGAAAGGTGCGTATTTATTCATGTGGGATTGGATTTTTAATTACCATTGATGATCATATTTAAAAGACATTGCTTTTCTTAGGTATTTTGAACCTGATCCGCTATTGGTCACCGAAGAAGTGAACGCGCAAACGAATCCGAAGTTTCATAATTTGAACAAAGCTATCGTGCAATTGGTTGGTTGTTCTTGTATATATCAACATAATATGATAGTTTCGAATCTGATTACCGAGCATTAACAATATCGATTCTTGTTATTAGATAGACGATTACAATATGGTCAGTTTCCTACCGTTGAACATTAACGATGAAGAGTCAGTAGAAGTCGTGCTATCACATATCGATAACGCGACGCAATACGGAGAAGATTTAGAGCCTAGAGAGCCTGAGGTAAGGCGATTATTTGTTATTTTTACGGATTGAAAGAGTGAAGATCCTGAATTTTTTTGTATTGTATGTAAAAGGACGACTTTGACTACGATTATGAAGATCAGTAGCGATAAGTGATATCTACGCTGATTTTGTGAAGCCGGTGCCCTACAAGATTATCCCGATACGTAATGGGATTTGCAATTTACGTGTTGTCCTTAAATGCGTGAATTAGATGCTTATCTGAATTTCTTTTTGAATTATTTATTGAAGTACTTACATATTCAACAATATTAAGCCTGTTCCCCCATATCAATAAATGAGGAAATAAACTACCACATACACACGATGCTCGAATGATTGGACGTTTAAAAAAAATAATCATATAATGAATGTTCTATTAGGATTCTACAAATTCTTGACATAAATGTGGTAAAAGATTGTAATAGGATTTCACAAATAATGTAAGAAATGATTATGGATGGATATACTGACCAATTGTCTCTGCCAAAGACAGACAAAACAATCGTCTGAACTAACATACCCCAAACTCAATACTTGTCTAGTCAACTAACTACGTATTTATTAGATAATGAAACGATTAATGTTATTATTCTAGAATAATAGTAGTTAAAATACTAAGTAGTAGTTGGTAAACTCAAGGGATGTAACTGCTGCTAGTGCTAGTGTTAGTGATAACAAAAAAGTAAATATGCAAGGGGGGAAAGGAGGGTAAGGAGGGAAAAAAAAACGTTCAAAGAAAATCAAAGAAAGATGGAAACCAAAATTCGAATATTGTCCGGATAAAGATGGTGAAAATAAAGCAAAAATAAAAAACTAAGCCCCGCAATATATTATAACTTTCCCCGTCTTACTGCCTATATTTTATTTATTTATATTTATTATAGATTGATCTGTTTCTACTATATGATAGATATATTGCAATCGATTGAACCACCTGTTCAATTAGTAGTATTAGTTGATATAGTGAAGAAGTAGTTGCTGCTGTGGTTGTAGTATAATCCCCAAAATTATGATGATGGTAGTAGTAATAATAATAATAATAATAATAATAATAATAATAATAATAATAATAATAATAATAGTGAAATGATGAATAAAAATTAATCAATTCTATTAAATGAACGGCCTCCTTTATGCACTTCGTTCAACTTTGGATTATTCTTGGTTAGAATATCTTTACCCATTTTAGCAAAATCAAAATCACAGTCATGCTTATCTGGAATCTTATGAATGTCGCAGTAAACATATTCTAAAGAGATAATAAACATTCATTAGTTAATAAAAAGATCATGATTAAGCCGGTTCAATTATCTGAATATATACACGTACCACAACGACATTTATTAATGGTTTGTTTAGCAAGTGGGATTTTTGCTCGACACAAGAAACATCGTGCTTTACTCTTTTGTACGGACCGTGCGGGTGTGGTAGCAGTTTCTCCGATACTATTGCCATCTGACGAAACAAGCGGATCATCAACTATCATCATCACAGAACTCGAGGAGCTCAATGGCGGTGTCGATGATGATGGTGATGGTGATGATGTAGGCTGAAGCGCGCTGTCGTCCTTTGGAGGAAAAGGTGAAGGAGATGATGATGTTGAAGGTTCGGTATTATTTGTGGACATGGCAGTAACTTGAGTCGTCGCTGGCATAGAAGGCTCGATAGTTTTTTCAGCTGTGAAACAGATATCGAGGAGTGGAACGAGCGAATCAGTCACTTAATCTAACTCTTTTATAAGGGAGTTAGAAAGAACAACCAGTAGCCATCCCTTTTTTTTCTCGTAATTTATAATTAGAGAACATACCATTACTCTGACCAACCTTTGGATTTGATTCTTTAAAGCATTTCGAACACATGTGATTGTAAATAGGGTTACTGGTTGTGAATAAAGTGATTAGCGAGGGAAAATTAGTAAACCACTGTAACAGTTAAAACTAAATGCAAAGGCAATGCTTCCGATAGGCACGATTAGATGTGACGACAACGAATCCGAAAGAAAGAAAGAAATAAATTGGCAAAGCCCCTTGATTAATGCTAGAACTACTCGCGGTACATACCCATAAAAACCACAGTTGTTTACACAGAACTCTGGCATTTGGGTAGCGTTGGTGGTGTTGTTTTCCATGTTAAATTGATTTTCCGGTGGTGGATGATGAGAATTATGGTGGTGGTTACTACTAATACCTTTTCTAAAACAATAATAGTTTGTTATTATTTTTGAAGAAAATGATAAAGAGGTGACTGCTTTTGTTGCACACACAGAGAAAGAGAAAAGATAAATGTATCGGTATGTGTACGTTGAGAAACTAATATGTAACAATAAAAAATTATCTAGTATGCAATGTAGTTAAGGAACTCCGAAAGACTATTTTGGGGTTTTAATTGTCGATGAAACACACCTGAAGAAGAGGAAGAGAAGAAACAAGAGCAGTAGCAGCAGAGGTTAGGTAGAGAGGAAAGAACAAAGAAAGGTTATTATTGAAGGGGGTAGCACACTGGATATTTTTATTTTGAGGCGCTGCCGATATGGTACGCATACCACTTGACTTACTGACTAAGATATAACTCTCTCGATGATCAAATCACAGTAATAATAATAATATAATAATCAAAATAATAGTAACGATAATAATAAATAATAATAAGAATGAATTTTCAAGCGAGACCTTCTAGTCATACATATATTCAGATGGATTTGTTAATCAATCATCAATGATTTTTTTTTCGGAGAATTGACATCTATTATTTCAAATTACGTGTGTGCTCTTTCTATGATGATGATGATGATGATGATGATGACGACGATGATGATGATGGTAATAATGGTGATGAACATGGGAAAATTGCGAGTTCATATAAAAACCTCCGAAATTTTTATTTTTTATTTTAGAGTATTACACGTACACGTATATTATTTGCCAGTCATAGATATATTTCCCATAATATATTAGTTAAACCATGCTTCGTCTCCGTCTCTTTTCGTTGATTTTCATAATAACCGTCCTCGTGTCTTGTTCCTGTGTGCTTGCCGACGAAAATAGCAATAGTAAGGTTGTAGACTTGACACCAGACACATTTGACGAAATAGTTGGTCATGATAAACATGTTTTCGTAAAGTTTTATGCACCGTGGTGTGGTCACTGTAAAAATCTTGCTCCTGTAAGTAAATGACAAGTATCATATTTTGATTAATAAAGATTCGAGTTTCGCCTAGCATATATCAATGTAACCGTCTGATTTTGAAATTTCACTCTGATTGATTTACTTGTCAATATAGATTTGGGAAGAACTTGGCGAGGCATTTGCAAGTGCCAACGATCGTGTCATAATAGCTAAAGTGGATGCGGGTACATCAACGTTAATTATTCTTCTTTGGCTGTTCGATTAAAAATTCATTTATTTTATCTGTTTAAAGATAACTACCGTGACTTGGGAAGTAAATTTGGGGTGACAGGATATCCTACGTTGAAATGGTTTGATAAAGGTTCCACCGATCCTGAAGATTATTCAGGTGGACGTACTCTGGATGGGTTAACTGCGTTTGTTGAACAAAAGACTGGTAATTTCAATTTTTTTCAATTTGGTGGGGATTTTTTGATTATCTATATCTCTCTTTAAATTGAATAATAATACGTAGGAATTCGTCACAATGTAAAGAAAACAGTCTCAGCGGTAACAATACTCACTTCTGAAACGTTTGGTGAAATTGCTCTGGATCCGAAAAAGAATGCATTGGTATATTAATTTTTATGGATTAGTATCCTTTTGAGATTAAAATTATAAATTCAGGTTTATCTCCTTGATTTAGGTTGAATTTTATGCTCCATGGTGTGGTCATTGGTAATTAGTCAATTTAAATAACTAAACAATAGTATCTCGTTGAATTCTTAAAAACTTCGAATTAATTGCGTTCATTACTTTTAGCAAAAATTTAGGTAAAATTTTTACTTTCAAATATCAAATGATCAGGTAAGAATCAATTATTGACTAATAATAAATGATTGTTACCAACCAGCTCCGATATACGAGAAAGTAGCGTCATACTATTCACAAGAACCCGAGGTGAGCAAATAAATCATTAAATAAAAGTAAATAGAATTTTAGCTTTCTCAAATCAAAATTCGGTATCATCGAACAATTAGTGCATCGTGGCAAACCTCGACGCAACCGCGCACAAAGACATCGCAGAGACTTACGAAGTAAAAGGTTACCCAACCATCAAATATTTCGCCAAGGGAGACGACAAGACCCCGATTGAATATGACGGTGGACGTACCGAACAAGATTTTGTCGCGTTTTTGAACGAGCATTGTGGGACGGAACGTGTCGTCGGGGGTGGATTGTCTGATAAAGTAATTCTCCATTTTTATTTTTTCTTCTGTGATTGATTGATTGATTGATTGATTGATTGATTGATTGATTGATTGATTGATTAATTAATTAATTAAATTAATTAATTGTTGAACATTAATTAATAACAATAGGCTGGCAAAATTCCTGAATTGGATGAATACGCACAAAAATTCATTATCGCGTCCAAAGAAAGTATCGGTTCCGTTATTGAAGAAGCACGAAAAATTGCAGCTAAATTGGATACTCGGTAGGCAAAATTCAATAATCATATTTTTTCGTATAATTTTAATTCGTCTAACGGTGATTCTTTTTTTATTATTACGTAACAATAATTTTATAGGTTTTCAAAATACTACATAAAAGTGATGGAAAAAATAAGAGAGAAACAAGATTACGTCACTAAAGAAATTCAACGCCTCGAAAAAATCGTAAAGTCCGGGACGATATCAAATAACAAAAAAGACGATTTCACTATTCGTAAAAATATTCTCGTTAGTTTTCAAATTGATGAAATTGATGATGTTAATACTAACACCACAACTGAGACCACAAGCGACGATGCTAAACACGAAGAATTATAATAGGCAAATTTTTTAATTTTTAAAATAGTAATTATAGATGTTTATTTATGGTCACCATTATTTATCGTTATAGAATAAAAGTTACATTTTTTGATTCCTGAGAGAACAATGACAATCTCGCAAATAGTTTTCTTAGGAATAGCTTCTCGTCTATTTGTCTGTTTACTAGCTACCACCTCCGCATACCTATTAGACGACTACGACTCTTCAGTCAGCACACTATTAACCGCAAAAAATAGTAGCAGCAGCACTGTTCTCCAAGCCTTCCTACGCTGGGACGCGTTTTATTTCTTGCATCTCGCCGAAGAAGGATACGTCTATGAACAAGAACATGCATTCTTTCCGTTATTTCCCATTCTCGTTAGAGGCATTGCAAACTTCAGTAAGGAATACATAATAATTAGCTAACTAGGTGTGATGTTTTTGAAAATATACTATTGTTGTTTCTGTAGAAAAAATAAAGCTGATAAATTATTATTATATGCATAGTAAAATTGTTTCCGTTGATTTCTACTTTTATTGTCAGTTATGAAAGAACGGTACTACTCGTTATCGGAGTGTTACTGTCGAATTTTTTCTTTGTGGCTGCCGCAGTTGCTATTTACAAGTAAATATGGAACCGTGTTGTTGTGTGCAAAAAATAATAACAGTACGCCAACAAAAAATTTGTAAAAAATATATCTTTGCAGTCTTAGCATCGCCATATTCCACAACAAAAGATTCGCCTGGATCACCGCTATTTTTTATATTCTCTCGCCATCATGTATTTTCATGTCTTCTTTGTACACCGAGAGCTTATTCGCGTTTCTAAGCTTTTTGGGTATGCGATATGTGGTGGAGAAGCGTTATTGGCGAGCGGCTTTCGTATGGGCGTTTGCATCATTTACACGATCGAATGGAATCGCGTATGCTGGATTCTTTGTTTTTAATTTAATCTTGAAAAAGGATGATATTATTAATAATTTAAATGGATCGATTAATATTGTGAAGGTAAAAATGGAAACCAAATTTCTTTATCTTGTTACGATTAATTGATCTCTCGCAGTACTAATTATTGCATAGGTATTTTCAGCGAGACTATTGAAATCAAGTATTCTTTGCGGAATCTCCACAGTTGGATTTGTGGTATTTGAGATTTACGGGTACATGAGTTACTGTCCCGAAACCAAAACTACGACGACAAATCCTCATCGTCGTCCTTGGTGTGAATCACGAATTCCGTTACTATACACTTTTGTTCAAACTTATTACTGGTAAGTGTTTTATTTAGATATATGGTGAGATGAATGTTGGGTTGGTTTATTAATTATTAATTAAACCATTTTTAGGAATTGTGGATTTCTATCTTATTACCAGGTGAAACAGATTCCAAATTTCTTATTAGCAGCACCGATGATTCTTTTATCATTTTGTGGTATATTTATGTACGCGAAATATGATTGGGAAAGATTTGTTTCTCTTGGATGGAGAAGAAATGAATCATTTAGTAAGATTGGTAGGTAGTGATTTCTCTCACCTCACATCAATGCATATTACAACTAAACCATTTAATGATTTAATAAAAAAAAACAAGTCATCCATAATAAGAAAACAAAAGAAGAACAAGAAACCTCAACATACTTCTCCTCAGAACTCTTACCATTCATTTACCTATGGATAGTATTGCTCGTCTACGCGCTCACATCAATGCACATTCAAGTGATCACGCGATTCTTTTCGTCACAACCAACAGTGTATTGGTTCGCTAGTTACATGCTAATCGAGTCGAAAAGTAATGATGTGACGCGGAAATGGGCGAAATTGATATTAGGATATTTTGTGATTTATGGGTTGTGTGGAGTGATTCTTTTTGCGAATTTTTTCCCACCCGCTTAGAGCAAACATTATTACTTTATAGTAATGAACAACAATAATTTATTGCTAATGATATCAAAAAAAAAAATCAAGTTTTTCGTCGTTTGAACGGCACATTTTTATGTTCCTTTGCAGCATTTTTCTTTCTCCTCTTCTCGATTATTTTTTCAACATTTTTCGGATCGGTATTTTTAAATTTCTCGACGAGTTCTAATTCTTTTTCGGCAGCTTTTATTTATAATGTTGATGATAACAATCATTAGCAGTTATTATAATGCTCGAAGCTGAATTTTTTTTTAGAAAGAACTTACATTTCTTCAAATAAAATGGCTTTTTCCCTTTACTAACAAGTTCCAATTCTTTCTTTTTTACTCCACGTCGAAGTTGTTTCTTCTGTCGAGCTATATGCTCGGTGTTAATTCTCGATTGCTATTTGTAAAACAATATTTTCGTAATTCGCATACATATGATATTGTGAACAATCAGAAAAATTACCATCTTTATCAATAACTTTTGCAATTCATCTCGCGTATTAGGATCTTTAGCGCGTCTAATCTGTTCTTTTATAGTTTCGAGTTCATTCTTTTTGTAGTTGTCCAGAAAATTGTATGATTTTTCAAAGAGGTCTTCGTTGAATTTTCCGGAAAGGTTGTCGAATCGTGGGTCTCGTCTTTTCTTTTTTGGGAGCGGGAATGGGGATGGATTTCAATATTCTTTTTTTTTTAAGAAGCGATGACATGATAAACACATGAAAATATAATAAATATTTACCTTCGAAGGAATTTCCACTACCTGACGAAACCTACTTATTGGCTTCTTTGAGGAAATCTCGATTGGTCTATTGAACGTATGTTAACGCAAACCAAATATAGGCAAAAGTCACATTTAATTTACCTGCTCTTATGCGTTCTCTTGTTCATTGTTGTTGATGTCGAACTGATTTTATTTTTGTTTTTGATTATTTTCGCATTAGAATTTGATTTTGTTAGGTCATCATTATCGTTCTCGCTGTCTTCGTCCTCTTCATCTTCTGATACAATTTGTCGTTGTATTTTCAGCAGTTTTTCGAATGGAATTTTTGCTAAATCTAAGAATTGTGTACATACGATTAACTATTATATTATAAAAAATATTCCATTCAATTATTGTGATGGTAATGAGATAACATGCCACGCTGTATCGATTCCTATATAAGGATAATTAAAAAAAACTGATTAATAATTGTCAAATAGAAATAATCAAAATAATAATTTCTTACTATTTTCTCGTCTTCGTCTTCATCACCTTGATCTTGATCTTCATCCTCCTCCTCCTCCTCCCCATTTTTTTCTTCTTCACTATCATCATCATCATCAGACAAACTATTTGAATCGCTTAGAGTCTCCTCCTCAAACTTTATATCTCTTTTTTTCCCAAATTTATTTGTATTTATTTCGTTTTTTCTCATTTTCTTTGTTCAAAACTTTTAGAAAAAACTGATCGTCTTTCTAATATAATTTAATTTAGATCACAAGATAATTTAATTAATCTTAGTCACAAACACAAAACTCATTTTTTCATAATGATAATTAATTACCATAAAAATACCGTAGATCTACTTACCGAAATCGGTGATCAACAAGTGGTATATATCTTTGACAATATAGAATCTCTGTTTTATCTACGAGTTATCATCAAAAAAATGTCAGCGACAGGGCAGAAAGCGCATCGTCGCACTTTAAGTTTAATTCAAGGGAATAGCAACGGCTCGTCCGAGAATCTCGCGATATCGAAGCAAAATCCTTCTATTACACGATCTCAGCAACAGCAACAACAGTTACAAAATCACCATCAATATCTTTCATCTATCGACACGAAATCAAAAAGTAGTAATAATCTTAACCATCAGAAGAACATCAACAGTGTTTCCAATAATATCAAAAATAACACGAACAGTAGTTCAATTAAGAGCAGTTCTAATCTCATTAAAAATTCATCAACAACTACCGTCACTAGCAATAAAAACAGTAGTAATGCTAATAATAACAACAGCAATAATACCTCATCATCAACCGCATCATCCCTCATAAACAATTATTTTTCCGTTATACCCGAGAAAATAGGATTTTCCACCCCGCCATCAACACCATCAAAACAAAAAACATTCACGGGGAAATCGAAAAACTCTACGACAGACAATTTCAAAGTTGTTCAAGTTGCAGCACTTTATAATGTCAAAGATGTGTTATTTACGTTAGTTTTTTTTGGCGCGTTAATTATATTTCTAGGAAGTTTAATGGGAATTGGGCCATTTGACGAAGATGAACATTTTCATAATAACGTTATCGTATCATCGTCGAAGAAGCAGCAAGTGCAACAGCAAGAGCATTTTCAACAACCATCACCATCACAACCACCCCCGATAATTAACGACCGTATCGCACATGAAAAAAGCGATCAAGAAGGACAATTAAAAGAATCAAATACAATATTATCAAATAATGATAATGATTTACCTGCTGGACAATCGAATAATATTGATACTACTAACATTGATAAGGATAATAACAACGAAGAAAAATCGACAGGTAGCGAGACAGATAAACAAAATGAGGAAGAATCAGAAGATGAATTTGGTGATGATTTGGATGATTTGGACGATTTGGAGGATTTAAAAGAGGATGAGGATGAGGATGAGGACGAGGACGAGGATGAGGATGAGGATGATGATGATGATGAGGACGATGACCCATATATGTACAGATATTTGCATGATCCATAGTTATAGTGATGATAATTAATTTAAAAATAGATCGATTAATGCTTTCCTAATAAAAAACCAGAAAGGAAAATTATTTTATTTTTTAATTCATTCCATACGATAGTGGTTGGATTCGAATAAGTTTTATTCGAATATTCACGAGTGAAGAATAAATTTGAGTTTTTCGAGTATTATTTATCCAAAAATAGATTTTTGGAGCAATTATTCATATACAGTCGTTATCAACATCATTAGACCAGGCCAGGCTATTTTGTTGATATATACGAGGGTAGATAACTATGTTGCTAACAACGGGGTGTTGATATTACTGGAGTTGATAACAACGGGGTCTATAGAAAACATCCTCTTGTATATTGCATTGTGAATTCTTTTGTTTTATCACTATTGTAAAAATGTCTCCTTACATTATTATAACGATAATGGTGTCCTGCAACCGATGATTCGTTGTATTTGATCAAGATTGTTTGGATATTTGTGACAAATATTCGAAAAAAATTATTTATTTAACCATTCTTTTACAATACCACTCAAAGGAAATTTAATTTAGCGAAATCGACATTTATTTGTTTTCCATAGGTGCTACATATGATTTTTGACGGAAATTAAAAAGCACATATAGCTCCAGAAAAGAATACAAGTAATAATAAGATTGAAGAAATAATTTTTAATATAAAAAGAAATAATCAAACGCGTTAGAAGCAAATAAATGATTAATGAAAAGATATTTTTAAGAATAATAAAGTTTTTTTGTCACCCAATGCTGGCGTTATTGATGATGATCGTGTCAAATGATAATAATATAAATAATAATCAAACCATTCAATTCATTCGCGACTTTTTACCACCACTTTCTTCCGTATCTTCATTAGTAAATAAGAATTCACAACCTCGCTTTAGATCAATAGTCGTGGATTCGGTTATTAGGTTGTTGGCCGAGTCTTCGGCATCTTTTCCGATACTAGCTTTGACCGGATATTCTTCAAAGTCAGGAAGATCATCTACATCTTCTGTGGATGATGAGAAATACACGTGATTATCGATTTCTTCCTCAAGTGGAGGCGTTGAAACGTTGTATATTTCATCGTATACTTGATCAGATTCTACATGTGAGGCGGCGACATTTGAATCATCATACTTTGCATCATTAATTTCCTCCAACGGAACTTCCGTTTCTCCCTGATCTTGATCTCGTTCAGATTCATCAATATCCGAGTATGGTGCGAGATCATCGTCATCGTCGTAAATATTCGATAATCCATTCTTTGTCCAAGTATTTTTAGTAGTAGCTAAATGTGGTAATGGTACATTGAAATTACCTGCACTCTCTTCTGGTTCGGTCAAAGGTAATTGCGCATCTTCGTTATTTACTGGTTCGATCAGAGGTGATTGCTCATCTTCATTATCTTCGATTATCGATGGTGAATCATTATACACATTATCATCTTCGCTATCATTGATTTCTCCGTTATCAAGAGTTTCTTCGTTGTTTTCATTTTCATCGGGCAGAGTTCCAGGATCGGAGTCACCGTTGTCATCGAGAACAATAGGATTATTTGGAAGATTACCTGCGCTATTTGCTCTCGTGACTTCCATGATGCTATATTTAATACGCTGTAGTTGCGAAAAGAAACCGTCTCTGAGCGTTAGAAGAATGTGAAGATAATTTGGAGGTATATTTTTCGCCATCTGGAAATTGTAATGCAGATTAAGAATATCATGGAGACAATGCTGTTGTGCATAATAATTTTCCTGAGATATCGAAACTTGAAAACCCGTATCGTTTGGGTCTCTAAATGTTATAACAGCTTCCTGAAAATGGGCTTCTTGCGGGACTAAGTCGTTCTTTAAAGTCATTATAAAATCGATCAATTTCTCTTGAGTACGAACAGCGATTTTGTTCTTAGTGCCAGCATATTCAAGAATACAACGTGCAAAACCGAGACCAAAACCTTGATTTTGATCTTGGTCATTGTCGTTATCGGGTTCTTGAGTATCTGGTAAGGGCATTTCGCTTTCTGAAGTCATATCGAAATCTTCGTTTCCGTAAACATCATCAACGTTATACGCAGAATTATTAGTAATATTATTTTCTCCTGTTGTTCTCGTTGTTAGTTCCACGGAACCATTTTCGATTTCGCCATTTTCAATTGTAACAATTTCTGTATTTTGAACATGATTATTATTAGTAATCGGTTCTATAATAGTAGGAATTGTAATTGAAGTAGTAGTAGCAATCGGAGCACCGTTTTCTGCAATATCATCTTTACTTAAATCTCCAGCATATTCGGAAGGTATTGTAGTTGAATTTTCTTGATTCAAGTCATTATCGGCAGGCTGATCCTCCTGTTCTTCGTCTGCCTCATTATGATTTTCTTTTCGCTGTGCTGATAATAAACCATCTTCACTTTTCATGTTGTGATTATCATTATATTGAAGAGCGTTAGCCTGATTTACTTCAGCACTAGTTTCCGCAGCAGCAAAAAAATCATTTGTGTCGTCCAGCTCTCTTGCTTCAAGTTCGTTATAAACGCCTAAATCATCTGTACCACTTATGATAGTATTATCTTCGTTCATCCAAACAAGCTCCTCGTCTTCTACCTCCAAATGTGTTAGGGACGGAGGTGGTCTATGCTCTTGATTTGGTAGCACTAGTGAAGACATTTTGTCGTTGTTGCTGTGTTCCTGTAAAAAAAAGGGTTAATTGATAGCGAAAAAATTTTTAGTTTCTCGAAGGTTTAGTAGTTCATTTGGTTGCTAATGTGACAGCTTTTTACACTTGAGCTTCACGTAATCAGAATTAGCCAATTAAATGCCGGTTTGATATGATAGGTGCATTTGTGACAAGATATTCATTCACCTTACCGTTATTGAATAATAATCAATCTGACAAATCAGAACTCTTTATTTTTATACTATAATGTTAAGTAAACGCCAAAATTGTAATTTCACAATTTATATATCTCAAGAAAGAAAGAAATTTTAACCAAATGATAGCTTAATCAAAAAAGCTATTTTGCTAAATTATTTTTTTCCTTTTAAGTTATATGATGCGATCTAAAAGTGGATGTCTTATACCGGTGTTACACTATCAAGGTTGAGTTAGTTAGTATTTGATATGGATAACGATAAGAGTTACGCTATTAGCTCAGGATATATAAAATCTGTAATATACATGTGATTTTCCGAGCATACCGCCCGATCATCAACAAATTTTGGTACGTTCATGTCATATTAGACTTTTTATTGAAATAGGATGAAAACAAAGTTCTAATAAATAACATGATTAAAACGCAGTCGTATTATTACAGAATGCACAATTTTAATACTCGTCAACTATTGTCCAATAAAGTAAATAATCCAAGTATCAAGAATCAAAAATATAGACTCATTAGAATTGATCCTTTTTGGGGGTGTTTAGTCATCATCGCTATCACTGCTCTCACTATCGTTTTTCTGTTCTCCAGTGCCACCGGCTACAGCTGCCGTTAATCCCTGTTCACGCATAAGCTTCATTTGACCAGCAATCGAATCTTCCTCAGGTTCTGATATTTCGTCGTCTATTGGTTCTTCAGGAGGCAGGGCATCAAAGTTCAATACTTCAAGCTAAATCGAAGAAAAAAAAAATAAATGAATTTCCTTGATTCAATGCGCTAAAAAGCAAATTTATTTCTTCCACATACACACACATACCTTTACTTCTTTTCTGATATCACTTCCAACATACGAATCACTTTTTATATATACTACAAGGTTCGTAGCACCGGCAACAGGCGGTGCTTGAAATTGTATTCGCACTGTACGTTCCTCGTTTGTGATGCCCGTAATACGAATAGGATTGACTATAAGCCGATCGGGCTTTTCCTCCGCGATGAAAATATACCAGTATGGTCGTCTTTCTAGTGGGAAGTACGGGGCGTGTATCCAATTGTTTTGCGTTGCTGGCTTTTTCTTTTTGAGTAGTAAGTCATCTTCTGATTCGCTCTCAGATGTGTGATAGCCGTTGATTGCAGGCTTATTATTGTTACTGTTATTTGGGTTTTTTGGGGATTTCGATAATTTGTCTTTGCCGTCATCGCTAGATGATATTGATGAATCAATGTGTTCTCCGTTCGATTCTATTAATCTAACTCGTAATATAAACGTGACTATTGACCCTGTTGTTATAATATTATCGCCTGGTACTATAATAAAAAAAAAGATGAAAAATTTCTCGATAAATATTGATGGAAAAAGTAGCTTTGATGTTCTTACATCTCTTATAAATATATACCTTTGAATAGTGCACGAGTAATTTCGAGAGCAGGATAAGCATCCGCAATATTCTTAACAGCTTCGTATTCATTATCTGATAGAATTCGTAACAAAGCTCTTTTTAATAAAAAAGAACAATAATTATTGAATTTAATTACCATAATCAAAAAAAAATAAAGAAAAAGTATATTACTAATTTTACCTTCGATCTTCCTCATTCATTTCTCTCAACTGCACCACACTTTTTATATTCCGTTTTTTACTTTTCATCGCTTTTAAAACCTCGTGATTTATGTACGGCAATTGCGCAAGCGGATTTTCACCTGGCCAGATTGCTTGTGTGAGGAGCTGGCGGATTTCCAAGCAATTAATGGTTGGCGTTAGCCATTGATGTGCAAGTGATATATCGAGGATGCCATTGATTAGATGCGCAACTTTTTCAATGATGAATTCTTGGTCTGATGCATATAACGTTAGGAATGCAAGAGAGATTAAATAATGCATTTTCATGTAAGGGATGAATAAATAATCAAAATAGAAAGGAAAAATAAAATACCTTTTAATAAAGTCGCGTCTGAGATTTTTATTCGTAATAGATATGCGTGCAATAATACATTAGCTTTTTGGCAGTACGGAGCGGTATACTTTTAAAATTTCGCGTTTTGATGAATATCATAGCATCATAATCAGTAAATTCACGCGACATTTGAATCCTTTCAGTATTTTGTTAATTCATCGTATATGACATACCTTTTTACTTTTCTCGAATTTTTCTCCAAATCGTCTATCCAGTTCTTCCTTCACCGATGAAATAACGGGGGACAAAGCAGCCGCATCAGAAGGACGTTGCTCGACCAATTCTAGAAATTCTACAGATGCAGATAAGAGTTCAAGTATATGTTTAACACTGGATTTTTCTCGTAGTTCTTTGAAGTAGAATGCCATCGTGTGGGTTCGGATCTTGTCTTTGGTGTAACCAGTTGAACCGTACCACCAACGTCCCTTTATTTCAAAGTTGTTTTTTTTAGATTTATATAACTATCTTTGAAATCGCGACATGAAAAAGCGTAAAATAATTAATTACCACAAAGAATGGTAAGAGTAGTCCAAAGACAACTCCGTATATACCGAGAACAAAGATGTTGTTCTTTGCCTCTACCAGCCATGTAGGAAGAGCAATACCCAACGAATAGGCTGTTGGTATATAATAGTTTTAATTATTAATTTTAAAATTATTATTTATAATTCAAATGATATCAATTAAAACCTTGTTTCCCGTCAGGATGACCCCATTCCTCATAGTTCTTTCGAATATCTTCATCTGTCAATCTAATAGAAATAGACAATATGGTTAAACTTGTTTAGAAAATAATTCATCGAGCATAAAAATGAATACAAAGCTGTAACCTACACTTTATATGCTTTTGTAATGTCAATAAATTTTGTTTCGTGTTCCATTTTTTGACCTTCGGGGGCTTTGTCAGGATGCCTTGAAAATGAAGAAATCACATATAAACGCACATATAAATAAATGCGAATGCAATAGCAGAAATTATATTCACCATTGTAAACTAAGTTTCTTGAAAACCTTTTTTATTTGTTCTAATGGTGTTCCCTTAAATAGACAAAAAAATAAGTCAAACTTCATTCAAACTTGAATACTTTTGATCATTCTCACCTCTGAAACCCCCAAAATCTCATACGGATCCCACACTTCGATTTCAATTTCCACCGTTGATACTTTATACACCAAATAGCCAAATAAAATCCACCCTATTACCACTGCCACAGCTCTAAAAACCAAATAACGTATTATTGAATATTGATGGAATAAAAAAAGCAGATTTTCTACAAACAAACGTTTTGTTGATTCGTTGAGCTAATGATGAAGGCGCTTTTAATTTTGCCAATCGAGCTTTTTTGTTTTTGCAAGCATCACAGGAACACTGTAGTTTGTTATCTTCATCTATATGGCAATATAATTGGAGAAAATACGAGATGTTGATGTTTTACACGATTGTAACAGATTGATCAAAATATGAATAATAAGTTTTTATATTGTCATTTGTTTAAATACTCAAAATACCAAATCATAGATCAAAATCTAAATTATACACAAATTTTACAAACTATTCCCACGCAACAAAACTGACCCTTCTTTTTCCCCTTGAATAAAGAAAATGTCGCCGGTATCAAGAATATCGCCAAAAAAGTCAATAAAAAGTAATTAAATGTGACACCCTGTTCATCATAAATGTACTGCATTTTTAGATTTCAAGTCGCGTTTTGCTACTCAAACAAGCGAAAACTTTTAAAGGAGGTTAAGAAGCAAATGATTTTATTATATTTGATGTCGAGTCATGTGATGTGTTCAAAATTTCTTGTTCGTTCATGATTGGTCAAGATTTCGCGAAAAAGCGAACTTTTTTGGAATCTTCGAGATCCTCTGTCGTTCAAGGCTTCGATCTAAGTCACGAAGTTAGTATTGGGGCGCGAGGTCGTCTGATCTTTAAGGCTTCGAGCTGACCTGCCCCACTTGGGCGTATACGACCTTCGAGCCGACTCGGCGGAGTAGGAAATCGGATACATCTATTGTTTAAAAAACACTTTTAAATAACAACCTCTGTAATACAATTTTTCTATTCTAAATTACATTCCGATTTTAAGAATTTCGTTTAATTACAAAATAATAATGAAAGTGCAAGTGCAAGTTTAATTATAGTTTCATTTGGGAAACCCTTTGGTCGAAAAAGGGCGTATATAAACGAATTTATTTTTTCGCTAACAGCGCAGTGGCCAGCGTCGATCAAGAAAATTTATTGTTATTCCGATGCATCACACACTACAAGCCTTATGGATGGAACTAAGCTTTATTAATTTTTTCATACATTAAATTTTCTGTAAACAACCTATATCTTTATGCAATAACGAAAACTTCTTGGCAAATTTGCTATTAAAGAGATAATTCGTAAATACCCATCCCGTTTAGAAACCGCTGACATAAATGATATGCATGTTGTTATTACTCCTAACAAGAAGCAAAAAATTGTCTTTGATTGTAGTTCCGGCTGTCCCGCTCTTCTCGCTCTTTTACCCATCCATCCAGCCGAATGAGTGCTTTGTGCATTTTATTTATTTTAATTTCTCTTTCCTTGTTCTTTTCTAACATTAAAATTCGGATTTAAACCGGATTAAAACCGAATTCTAATATTAAAAATAAATCCGGTTCCAAACTCTAGTTCACCATATAAATTATTGCTGATGATCTTTCAAACTACCCTCTGCAAGAAACTGCTACCGAGTAGGTAGCAGTTTCTTGCAGAGGGTAGTTTGAAAGATCATCAGCAATAATTTATATGGTGAACTCATTGTGTAACAGTGCTTAATCGGAGTAACCACTCTCAGTGAGCACAACGAAGATTCCTAAAGTATGGTCCTTGGGAAATCTAGAAAAATCTGAGTTAGTAATGAAAATCTTACATAAAATTTTAAGTATTCAAGAGTTACTTTAAAAGAGCTCCTTCAAATGCTTTTATTTCATCTTTTTCCATATTTCTAATGGTGTAGGTCTTACACTGAATGATAAGGATATTGTTACCGTTTTGATAGGGCTTTCGAAATACTCAAAGGTATTTATAAAATTTAAGGAATATTCAAAGGGAAACTTCCAATGTCTTAACGACAA